TGGCAAATGATATGGCCCCCACACGTCAGAGTGAACAATATGAAAAGGAGAAAGGGATCTTTTATTGCTTACTGAAYAAGAATGTCTACAAYGCTTTGCCAGTTCACACRACTCACAATGAAGACTCGATAAAGACACTCCCTTAAATATATCTTGAAACAAATGACTCAAAGCAGAAAATGACAAATGACCAAACCGGAAGTGACATAACAAGACTTTGTTAATAGACTCTGACAAAACTGACTCTAAGGCAACTCCATGAGGTGGTCCCAAAGCTCGATCCAGTGTGTCCAGCAAGTATATTCTGTTCGCCTCATGGCCACTCCCAATCATCCACTGAGATTGCAAGTCCTGAAAAACACAATGAGTGGGAAAAAAAGTTATGCTGCAATTCATGGATTTAGTTAAGCTGCTAACAGATAAAAGGTTTGTGTTAAGTTTAGGGACATGAAGGACAGAGGATAAATAAAGGGTGTCAGAGGTCTTTATATCTCCTTTACCAGAGATGGGAGCAAGAGACCCATCAGCAAGGGATATTTTCTCTTTGCTAGAGAGAAGGTGGTATGAGCAGTAAGAGATTAGACAGGCTGGTCATATGGTCTGATGCATCGGAATCAATAATCCAAGGGATTTTATGATTACCTGAAATTGAAGCATGATTTGCAGAAGCACGAATACCTAAGTAAGCAAATGCGGATGAAAATGGTGTGTTGTTGCTGGAAGAGTGAGATGAAGAAACATTAGCTTCCAAGTGATTTAGTAGCCTCCCATACTTTTCAAAATCCGCCTTCATTGCTGCCAACTGCTCAATGGTTGATTTCTCTTCACTCTCCTTATTTCTTCCTTCAGGTACTGTAGCAACATTAGTTGTCTTAGGCTTTCCTACCGGACTGCCCTTCTTAGAGCTATTGTTATTCTTAAACCTATCAGGAAGAAGCTCAGGATGAAGCTTCCAACAAGTGTCCTTTGTATGCCTCGGTTTCTTGCAATATTCACATATCTGCTCCTTTTTCTCAATAGGACCCTTTGGCTTAATTCCAACATGTGCAAAGTGTTCTGTAGGTGGACCCTGCAACTGAACTTGTAGCCTACTCTCCTTACTGCTTATCATAGCATATGCCTGAGAAAGAGTAACCTCATCTCTAGCCAGGATATTTTGCCTAATGAAGTCAAACTCAAGGTTGAGTCCAGTGAGAAATTCAAACACCCTTTTTCTCTCCACCAACTTCCTATACATTTCAGCATCATTCTTACTCTCCCATACAATTGTCTCCATAACATCAATTTCTTGCCATAGGGATTTCAGTATAGAGTAGTAGATTGCTACACTCTTCTCCCCCTGTCTTAGGTTCTTCACATCACTTTTCAAYTTATARACTCTGGCTACATTCAACTTCTGTGAATAGGTCTCAGTTACTCAATAGTAGTCTTCTACTCATTAGAACCCTTGTCACTGTTTGAAACCATGGCTCCATTAGCATTCCCACTCTTTTCATTTCCATCTTTCTTATTGTTATTAACATTCTTGAACCAAACCAGCAAAAGTTATGGGTGTAACTTCCAATACATATCCTTCAAATGTTTTGGCTTTTTGCAATACTCACATACAACATCTTTCCTTTCTTGAGTTGCCTTAGGTTTCACCCCTACATTAAAGTGGTCAATTGGAACTGCCCTTGAACCTATACTTGCCTTTCACTTTTCTCACTACTTACCATAGAATAAGACTGAGAGAGGGTTACGTCATCCTTTGCCAATATATTCTGTATAGTAATGTTTCAACATCCATTTTACTCTCCCAAAAAATTACCTCCATCAAATCAATCTCTTGCCATAGAGATTTCAGCATTGAATAATAAATTGCTAATGGTTTCTTCCCCTATCAGAAATTATTCACATCATTTTTCAGCTTATATGCTCTAGCCACATTCAATTTCCAGGAGTACATCTCTGCAACACTATCCCAAATCTCCTTGGAAGAGTTTACCCACAAGTAATGTTGGCTGATATGAGGCTGCATTGAATTCACCTACCAACCAATAACAGTATAATTTTCTTGCATCCACTTCTCATGGGAGGGATCATCTTCCTTAGTTTCCTTCTTTCTACCAGAGATATATTCCCACTTTCCTCTACTACAAACATATATTCTCCCTGACTGGACAAGCCAAATATTTGGTTCCATCAAGCTTCATTGTGGTCCCAGCCAGTAGAGGATCAATGGAAGCTCCCAGTCCCAGAACATGTCTAGACTCTAAGCTCTACTTGATCTCTACTTCAGAGTGTTCCATTACTTCTAAAATTTCAAGGAACAATCTTTAACTAGCAAATAAGAATGATTGAAAACGATAACTGATACTAACCTCAATAGGATCCCCAAATTCTGATTTCACTGTACCTGGCAACTAGGGGTGGCAATTTTTCACCCAACCCACCCAAACCCTCCCATTTACTTGGCGGGTTGTGTAATCAACCCACAACCCAACCCGCCCATTTAAATGGGTTGGGTTGGGTTAGGTTGTGGATAACCACTGGGTTAACCATTACAGACATAAGTATTAATTCCTTAGCCTTTTTTTTTATTTTCTTCATTTGAATTAAATAATTTATAATTAATGCATTAATTTTCTATTAATTATTTGATTAAATTTAGTTTTGTCATGAATCAACACACTTCACCCAACATAAATCCAAATCAATTTGACCCGAGTCCGGACCAGTTCAACATGGCTCAACCCGTTCCAGCATATACTGATCCGGGTCAACCCAAATTCGAAATAGACCCTAGGCGGGATGGTTCGGCATTGCTTGCTTTGCCCAATTTGGGTTGTCCGGTCCAACCAGTTTCCACACATCTTGACCCAACCCGGTTCGAGCTGATCTAGGTCAGCCCAAATCTGAAATGGTTCCATGCAGGAGGGTTCAATGTCTGTGTACTTTTCCCAATCTGGACCGTCTACTCCAACCAATATCCATACAGCACCCGGCCCGAATATGGGCTGACCCGATTTGCTCACATTGACCCGCTTCAGGTCAATCGATTTGGTCCCAAACCCGTGCACAATACTAATATGGGCCAGCCCAAGTCAATCCACCATTGATTGGACCGGTCCGGTCCGACCGGACTAATCCAGATCTAAATGGTCCGACCGGTTTGAACCTAAGTGGTTTAGTCAAACCCAAAATCCAAACATAGTCAAATGGCTTCTCCGCTTGTGTAAAAATAAAATGCATGTAATGTGATTTGAACCTTCACCACTTGTGTAAATAGTAATTACTATTACCACCAAGCTATGACCAACTTATTTGTTAAAAGAGAGTTAGTTTGCTTTTTAAGTCATTGAGTATAAGATTAATGGGCTTGGGCGGGTTGGACTGGGTTGAAGCGGGTTTGGGTTGAACCCAACCCATTTAATTTTATATAACTGGGTCATTAATGGGTTGGCGGGTTAGATGGGTTGGGTTAAAGCTCGACCCAAACCAAACCCAACCCAACCCGCCCAAATGCCACCACTACTAGCAACCCAGGAGAAAACAGAAAAAGCCAACCACACCTTGTAGGGCTTCCAGAATTCAGTTCTACTTAGATCGATCTCTATAGGGATCAAAAATAACCCCTTCAATCCTTGAGCGCTAAGTTGAAACCCCCTCTAGGACCCTTAATTCAAAAATCTCAAGTTAGCTAGTTTTTCGGGCAAGAACTCCAAGAACTGTCTTGGGCACTAATCTGATCCTCTTTTCTCCTAAAATCATCTTCCAATTGGGCTGATTATCTTATTTATCAATTATTCATTCAGTTCTCCACACACACTGTGTAGGGGATTAAAAAGAAAATAAAGAGGTAGTTATACTGCTTTAATACCAAGAAGAAAACTAACAAGAATTAATTCTTCTCTTTAATCAGAAGATACAGCAAAGAAAAAACAGGTATGAGACCAAGGGAGTAAGAGGAGAGGAGAGAAGAGAAGAGAAGAGAGGAGAAGAAAAAGAAGAGAAGGGTCAATTGCACTCTCTCTCCAGCCCCCAAAAACTTTTATTCAAGTTAAAACTGATGTAATTACATAAACACACTTGATGGGTGACAGCTCCTAATATTTAACAAAAGAAGAGTTAACAGGCCAATGAAACTAAAGGCCCATTAACAAAAAACAGTAAACAAAAATCTGAACATAAGTTGAACTAATTATGGCCCATCCAGCCCAGTACTTCTACATTACACAACAGGATTTCTAAAATATATCTGTAATAATTGTGTCAACATGATACAAAATAAGCATCAGTATATATTGTGCATCAGATATGGTTCAGATGTACTCGGTGCTTGACACAAAAGAAAAAGTATAGGAATTTGTAATTTGAAACAAGTTATGCAAATTTTGTTAGGAAACCGGATGAGAATTCATTCAAGTTGTTGAGGTCATTGTTTACATTTTTCATATTATTCTAGACAAGTAAACAGTTTATCATGCTTCAGATTCTTATCTTTTCCTCTCCACAAATCTCAAAACCTTTAGTAATATTGTAATAGAGACAGCACACACAATAAGCTAGCTATAAACAAATTATTTTCTTTATTTATCAAAAAAACAAATTATGAAAGAGATCTTTTTTTTTATAATTGAAAGAGATCTTATTTTTAGCCTATACAGAGTAGAAAATGAGAAACTAAGAGCTATTTCTTTAGTAAATCCATGATATAAAACAATAACTTACTCTTTTCTTTTGTAGAACCCATCCTGCAATAATGTCTGTATACAATAGGGAACAGATTTAGTACACAGATTATGAATACCAAGAGAGAAAAAAAATTATCAACACAATCAAGCAATAAAAGGGAGGGCATGAAAGGTTCTCAGTGATGATTGTAAAAACTTGCTTCAACAAAAAAAAAAAGAAGAAAACAGAGAAAAGAGAGAAAGTGGCAACTAGAAAACTATAAGTAACACTGGAGTTTTAGGATATAAATCAATACCCACTGCTGCAAGGAATTTTCAGGGTGGTGGTTGGACAGTATGATCCTGCTGAACAGAATACCTCACTACTACTACCAACATCAGCCCATGTATCTGCTCCTCCACATTGATGATCTGGCTTACCAGGAGGTAGTTGGTAATGATATCTGTAGATTTGTTTCCTAGTCATAAAATGTTTACTGACACTACAAACCAAGAGACATAAGATATCTTTCAGACTAGAATCGCAACTTACGGATCACATGTACCAGTAGTTTTGTTGAGTTTTCCAAGCGGGCAGTAAGCACCTAATGGACAAGCTTCAATAGCAAGTAACAAATGGCAACAATGGAAAGAAAAGATTAGAAACTTTTCCGTCACATCAATAAAATATAGAACAGTTTGAAGTATTATAGTGGTACTTTATTTATGATATTTGAAGATGCAAAGATGTGATACCCAAGAATTCAGTGGTATCCCACTTGAAAACTATTATTCCAACAACAAAATTTGCTTGTGCTTAGCAAGGAACAAGTATATACCAATAACTTGTATGATCTTTTAACCAATGAAACACAGTAAGTGCATATATGTACATATAACAGACATTATGTCAAGTTCTTAAATTAGTAAAGAAATAAAATCAATGCAACATTTAAATTTAGGGTTGTGGAACCAACCCTTCTTGAAGTGCCCTCATACACTCAAGCCCAACATGACAAAAAAGATATAAGCTTCTCTCATGAGCAAACAAATATGACATAATATTTGTAAATATGGCATACCTAAAAGAGTTTTGTTGGGGTGGGTTGCCCAAGGTACCAACACAAGTCCAACATGACTTGGGCTGGGCTGTGACTTCCCATCCCAAGCAGCCAAGGCCCAAACTAAGGTCTGAAAAGTTCAACTATACATAAGTCAGGTTCAAGTTGTAACAGCCCAAGCTGCAATTATTACTTGCTGCTGTACTTTTTTATTGAGTTAATCTCTGATTATATCTATAATTTATTAACGCCTATCAACTCATTATGCCACCTAATGTCTTACTTCCATAACAAAGTTTATGTTCTACATTTCTAATAGGATCGAATACAATTTGAACAATGCATCTCCAAAGCTTAAGCCCATGAATTAATAGACAAGTCAAGGTTCACAGTATCAATACAATATGCCCTGTATCGGGCATATCTTATCATATATTTAGGTCTCCAAAATGCTTATTCTAAGGGATTTTAGGATTTTGGCTTTATAACATTTTAATGTATGACTTGACAGGTCTATTGTCAAATTATCAGAAGAAAATATTAAAAAAAAAATCATAATTTTGTTCAGCCGAAACTCTCAACACACAAAATTTGCATAGAGAGAGTTTCAATACTTTGAACCATGAGACAAATTACATGTTTGCAAGTGCTGCATAGGATAGTATCTAGTGTCTTTAAATTAGTCCTAAAGGGAAGTTTAGAGATCAATTTTATTGTTTTTCCTGTATTAATGTTTCCATTATCCGGAAGACATACCTTGGAACCTTAACATGTATAAACCACAAATTAACAATGAAAAACACCATATACTGCTAAGAACACTAGTAGTTGCACTACTCAATCCATTATACTCCTAAACAGCAGGTTATTTCAAACTGGAACTTTATCGTAGATGTATACATGTAATGTTTTAGAAAAAGAGACAGAAACATAACTTTTTATAGAACACAAATGAAGATTCTTTACCCTCACCTTTTCAGCCTTACCACAAACCAAGAAGCTCTCATATCCCAGGCTTTACCCTCTTCCCCCCCTCATTTCAACTGGAACCTAACTCTTAGGAGATCACCAAGGGACCTGGAACTTAGTGAAATCACCAACTTCCTGCACACCCTGAGAGAGGTATACCTCTCCCAAAATTCCCCTGACCTTCGTGTGTGGAGGACCCTTCACCCAGCTGGTAAGTTTTCAACCAAATCTTGCTTCAAGGCTTTAGTTAGGGAAGAACAAACCACTGATCAGTAACCCCTACAAGAGAATTTGGTGCGCCCATATCCCTTCCAAGGTCTTTTTTTTTTTTGTGTGTGAGGGAGGCCAGCTTAAAGAAAATCAACACTTACAATCTGCTTCAGAAAAAGAACCATGGGAGATCTTATTTATCCCCTCATGTCTGTTGCTTCTGCCTTAAAGCCGGGGAATCTGCCAACCACATCCTGCTCCACTGTGAGGAAACCAGAAAATTTTGGAACTTTTTTCTAACATTATTTGAGTACAGTTGGGTTTTCCCAGAACATGTGGTTGAATGTTTAGGTCAATGAACAGGAAGAGGCTTAAGCAAAAGAGGGAGAACTTTATGGCAAACTGCTGCACATGCTATATTTTAGAGCATTTGGGAAGAGAGAAATAACCGGGTGTTTAACAACAGAACAAAAAACTGTGAGGAGCTTATTTCTCTAATCTGTTATAGATGCTTCCTGTGGACTTCCAGCTCAGAATATTTCTGAGGTGTCACATTTGCTGACCTCCAAAGAAATGCTGTAAATTTTTCTTCACTCTAATCACATAACAGGCATCAGGATTGCAACAGACCTGGGTTTATTAAATCTTGCCATTAAAGGAGATTCAGCCAACACCATTAATTGGCTTACTAATCCTGATAGTGGGCCTTGGGCCTTAGCTCACTACTTGGCTGAAGAGAGAGACATCCTCTCCTCCTTGAATGCACACGTGAGCTGGGTTCCGAGGGAGCTAAATTCTGAAGCTGACAGTCTAGCTAAATCTGGTGCTTACAGGGATTACTTATTCAGTGATAGTTTTCTGCCTATGTAACTCTTTGAATGTCTGATATCTGTGTACATCTCCTCATGTACCTTCCCTATCTTGAATAAAGTTAACTTTTTCTCAAAATAAAAATGAAGATTCTTATTTTATGGCGAAAGTTATACAGGAGAGTCCAAGCCATCACAATATCATAGCTCAGTACTAAAATCCTTGAAAAATATAACAAGGGTTTCAAAACTGTCCTCTATAACTGGTAAATCAGAAATTCTTGAGCTAAGAAATTGAAGCTAGAAGCAGCTGCCCAAAGTTTCAGAGCTTTCCACAGTGACTGTCTTAAACAAAGTCATTTCATTTACATGCTTTGTGCATCTTTCACCTCATGAGCTATTAAGTTATATGCTCAATCTGCCATGTGTGTATCGCTGTAGGATACACTCTTAATATGAGGGTTTCCTCTGCTATGACTGTATTCTTCATTGTCTTTTAATTTCAAGAGATGTAATATTCCTTGAAATACTCCTCTATTTTAAGCATGTGGGAACATCCAATGGCATCAATCCTGTAATTCTCCACGATATCAACATCACAAACATTCTGCTCCTCAGGCGGTTCCCACTCTTGTGCTTCCAATGGATGTCCCCCTTCATCCTCTTCTTCATTACCTATAAGTACCTTACCATCTCCATTCACCTTTATTCCTTTATGTCATTCCTCTCATGTTTCTCATCCTCCTGACTGTCATGGGTTTCCGATGCCACACCATTTTTTCTTTGTTATTCTTGATGCCATAGACATTCATCACACTTACAAGCAGGCAACTACTATGCCTTGTCAGAAGGTGGCTATGGATATTAAGATGTGTGCACTGCTTAAGAATGATACTTGGGAAATGGTGTCTCTTCCCTCTGATGTTTTCCCATCGATAGTAAATCGGTCTTCTTTGTCAAACTAAAGCCTGATGACAACATTGAGCACTACAAAGCACAACTAGTTATACAAGGGTACACACAAGAGTATGGTCTTGACTATGACAAGACATTTGCCCCATTGTTAAAATGACAACTATTCATTTCTTTTGTTTTTTTTTTTTTTTTGGATCAGCAACACAGAAAATTTTTCATTAATTATGAGAGAAACATGATTACAACAATAAGTTGTGAAAGGAGCCAGCTATAGAAGCTGTCCCAAATCAGTACTACATTTGAGACCAAAACATATGTGTTCTATGTACCCCTTGCTTGGCTAAGCTATCTGCCAAGCTATTAGCAGTCCTCACCCATTTCACTCGGATTAACATGTCCTGTGACAGCCATTTGAATTTTCTAAATTCATTCCTCAAGTGCCATGCCACCCCCTCCCTTTTAACCAGCCACTTAACCATAGTTTTAGAACCTCCCGCAATAATCAATCTACTAATACCCATTCTTTTGCCTTCTCAACCCCAAAACTGCAGCCAAAAACTCTGACCTTGCCACATCACCCTGCTCCACAGGGCCAGAGTATAAAGCAATTTTGTTCCCCTCTTCATCCCTAATGACTCCTTCAACACCTGAAGGGCCTGGGTTACCCAAACAGCTCCCATCAAAATTCAATTTCTTCCAACCATTTATTGGAGGAGACCAAACCTCAACAGATCTTTGTCTTGTAGTTGAGGATGCAGCAATGGTACCCCAAGCTCTGAAGAAATCTTCAATCTTGAAATCCAAAAACAGCTTCAAACATTTTGCCCAATGAGCTACCCTCAATGTTATAGTTTCAACCAAGGCTTCCTTGCTTCATTCCTTCTCTTCGAATATTCTTGCATTTCTTTCCTCCCACACAGTCCAAATTAATGTTGCTCTAGTGCATCTCCACAAGGTCCTACCCCTCATTTTTGTACAGATAATGCTAGTAGGGCTAAACAAACCCTCCAATCTATCAGGAGAAGACCAACTGCATCCAAAGAGAGAAGTAAACCAATCCCAAAGAAAGCTAACAAACGGGCAAGAGATAAGAAGATGAATGGCAGTCTCACCATTCAACTTGCAAAGAACACGCCAGTTTGGTCTCTTCCTTTGAAGTAAATCAAAGGTATTAATGCTTCCATGAAACACTTCCCAGCAGAAAGCGCTAATTTTAGGGGGAATGGGAGAACACCAGACTACCTTGACTGGGAAA